AATAAGCGAATTCCACAATGGAGACCACGGAAGAAGAAAAGGAAAAGAGAAAGACCACAGATGAGATGGACTGACGACGTTAAGAGAACGGTTGGAAAGGACTGGATGCAGATCGCCCAAAATAGAGACCAATGGAGATTAACAGGGGAGGCCTATGCCCAAGAGTGGGCGTTTAAGGCTGATTAGGTAGATTAGAAGTCTTTGTACAGATAACAATAATGAGTAAGACCACTTAATTTCGTAATTTATTTACAATTGATAGTTGCTATTTTCTGCTAATTTATTTACCAACAAAATATTGCATTTTTTCTTTATTATTAATTATCTAATATCATTTAACCAGCGACTTCTTATGTTTTATCCAAAACACTAGTCAATTCTTTGGTTTCAATTCCTTTTTAGAAAACTTATACACACAACTTGATAAAATGACTTAAAAAGATTTTTATATCATGAAGAGAATTCCTAATACGAATATACCCAGAGAATCATATTCTTGAAAAAATAAAACAAAATCTGATAGAGATATAAAATTGTAAAAAGGAGGTAATCTTTATTTGGATCCCATCACATAATGGTATTAGAGGTAATGAAGAAGCAGATAAGTGTGCACGTGAAGCCGTCAATTCAGCTGACTCTATTATTGTGAAATACGTGATAGCTAGTGATGTTTCATGTGTTATCAAATCGCGGATCCTGAGTGGCAAAACCGGTGGGAATTTTCAGTGTCCAATCTTCGGAATATTAAACCGGACATTAAATGATGGAGATGTTTCCCCACTAAAAGAAGGGATCAAGTGACAATAACTCGTCTTAGATTAGGTCATACCAGTGCCACGCACAAGTTCTTAATTACTAAAGAATCCGAATCAAAATGTGAGCAGTGTAACGTTAAACTCTCGGTGAAACATGTTGTTGTAGACTGTCCAGTTTTCTCCACAGCAAGAATCAATTATGGTATCTCAATAAACTTAGAGAAAGCACTTGGTGCAAATTGTTCATTCACAAATATGTTAAACTACTTAAAGCTATTAATTTTGTTAATATATAATATATTTAATATTGTAAATCTGATTCTCGCTAATAACCTTCGGGTTGATGCGAATTTGTAAATAAAAAAAAAGAATTCCTAATAGATTTCATTTTATATTCTTCTATACTATAAGTAAACCTTATCTGATCATGAGAATTATCTTAAAATATTTAACGTGACATTTTCACATTTCATCAAGTGGATCGATAGAATTAAATACTCGTAAACAGTAAATAAAACCACGGTATTTTATACACTATACGAACCCCAACATTCCTTTCCTGAATACTTTAAATCTCCGGCCCCATTAATGAAAAATTACACATGCCAAGCGAATGTCACTGCCATAGGTATTTTCCAATAAAGATTTCGGCTTAAACTTTATAAAATTATTTGTGGAAAGCTTTTGACGACGTGAAAAATTTTAAAAGGTTTAAAAGCGACTGGTGCTTTTGCTTTTTGAAGTATGAATAAAGTATGTTTCTTCTCCTCTGACTCGACGTTATGTATTATACTTTGAAAGGTAAATATTTGTTTACTGAAACTTTTAGCTTCCGACAAAGATATGGTTCTATATATGTAACTATATCAAACGAATGGATTTTTATAACTTATGCGGGATGGCAAAGTATATAAAGTATTTTTGACCATAAATTTGAATGACAAAATTCTATTACTTGAAAAATGGATTGGTAAATATGATAAGTTAATAAATGCTTTAGAAGGCTTTCGAAATGTAGAAATGGAGAAACATTTTCTGAATACCTTAGATGTAAAGATATACAAATGCTTAATCATGAATGTGTTGCCAGTGTGAGTCCATTTCCAATAGGTAAAAAGAAATAAAACAGACTTACTCACAATCAGTTTAATTTAACTACCAAGACGAGCGGTTTTAACTACCAAGACGAGCGGTTTCTCTTTCTAAAATTTGTAAAGCATCTTCAGGTGAGTCGGTACAAAGTTAATTATAATCAGTTCACAATTTATCGATAGCTCACTACAAGTTTAACCCTAATTAGAGAACTGAAATACAGAGAGGATAGGTAATACGATATAATAGTAAAAATCAACCTGAAACTGACGGTTTAAGATGTTTTCGACAAACTGACCTTGTATCTGAAGGAATACAATGTATTTTAAAATGTATACATTATTTTCAAATCCGAAGAAAACTGATACATATTTTTGAAAAATTTAAACACAGAATGAAAGATTCGATTATCACTGAGGGCAGAAAGTCCCTGAAAACGTCTACAATGTTTATTTTATTATGTTATGTAACAGGGGTAAAAATAAAAGAGAAAATATAGTATAATTTTTAATTAAAAATAATGCATGCAAAAGAAACTTTATATTTATTCTAATAAATATTTCATTCTGCTTTTAAATTTTTCAAAATTGCTTTTTTGTTTTCTCAGGATTTGAACAAAAATGGATACATTTAAAACACATTAAACATTTTGACAGACGACATTTTGCGCCTTTCTCCTTTAATACCATATTACAATTACAACTGCTATTACTTACCTTATATAATTACGATTAAAAAACTATTCAAATTCAAAATAAATAGGATCAACTTCGGAATCCGAGTCGTCTTGAGGGTTAATAATTAGCGGTTGCGTCTCTATGGTCGCATCAATTACGTTATCAATATCCCACAGTTTTTGTTCTTCTATTACATGTCTTACATTTTGTCAGCATTGGTAAAAGTGCTAAAAGAAACATTTTTTAAAAACAATAATAATATTAATAATGATATACTCACCGTTTTATAATTTTTGTGGCAACTGAAATTGGCCTTTTGGGTATACTTCAGTTAGGTCTTTGATAGGTTCACGAATCACAGAAGAATTCCAATGCCCATGGTAACTTGATCTGTGTTCCACTGTTCGAGGATGAGTCTCAGAAACTTTAAACCCTGTTATAGATCTTGATGCAAATGGACATTTCTTTTTGTAATATCAATCCAGTAGTGTTCACCAATCCCCAATCATTGGTTGATCTACTTCAATCACCTGAAATGGAGTAGGTTAGATCCTGCACGTACGAATTTCAGTAATTCAATCTTGAGGATAGTTAGCTTTTGTCTTTTGACATACCAATGCCATGTCCCGATCACACACTAAATACGAATGCTCACGCATTAGAAAAGTGACGATAATGCTTGATAGCCTTTTAACGACGTGAACGACGTGTGTAGGAAACGGAACATTGTAAAGTTTTTATTTTGGTTTAACGTGAGCAACATAGTGTAGGAAACGGAACATTGTAAAGTTTTTATTTTGCCCGCCACGTGAATTGCAAAATATGGCTAAGTGGCGTACGTTTTCGTTAAGACACAAAACTATAAAATTATGAAGAAATGAGACTACCTCATTTGAGCATTTTCCTCCAACTGTCTCTAAACAGCAATAAAAAATTGGCTGATTACCTAGTTGACATTACATGAATATTAAAAGAAATAAAGGTTAATTGTCTTTTATAGTATGCATCGTGTGTTGTAATATTACGAACATTAAGATTATTCGTGTAGTCTAAAGTAATGGCTTCCATTTTAACTGTCTTCATTAGTTTCTTATGGGCAGATTTCTTTCTATCATAAAAAGTTTCAGCTTTTGCTTTGTGTTCACTATTAGCAATATGTAACTTTCCAATCTGTGCTTCTATTTCTTGCCAAGAGACTTCAGTACCAACTGGAAGATGTTCTAAAGATAGTTTGAGTAACTTCATTTCTGCTAAGAATTTGTCACACTCGCTGCATGTATCACTGCATGATACCTCTATTCCTCTATAAAACTCATATGAAACAATGGGATTTTGAAGAGCTTTGTACATTTCATGCATTTTTTTAATATTTAGTTCATCAGGTAAGTATAATTTAGTGTTTTTGTTTCTGCTGTAATGGCTTTCCCTAGCCTTGAAAGATTTAATATGATTAATCACACCATCAACTACCTCATTTGGTTTTGTGTTGGGTTTTTTGTTTAATCCACGTTTGTCTTTTGGAGCAATCCCAAACATTTTTAAACTTTATTGAATAGTTTGTAGCCTCTTTTTCGTGATACCGTGAAGAGACATAAATGCTAAACAACACACAACAGTTTCTTTTACGATGTTATCGGCACGATATCTATCTTTACATGAGTAAGTTGCATCAATTAATTTAGCCACCCCTTTTGGTTTCCTGTTTCTTCTTTGACCAACTGTTCGCACAGAAATAAAACCACCCAGATAAGAATTTTTGTCATTATAATTTTGAGAATTAAAATGGTTTATTATAAAATGCCTATTCTGTTCTGTTATTTTATTAAAACATTGCAATAGTTTGCACTTACAGTCATCACCTGTTTCATGACTCTGTACACGTAGTAGTTCCATAACATCCGCAATGCGTCAAGTTTTTCTTTTTTTCTTGGATGATTCAATTACAAGCGGATTACAAGCAAAATACACTAAGTTAGTTTTTGTCATTTTTGACTAAATTACACATTGATATTATATGCACGAAATATCTAAATGATTTAATAATAAACACTTTTTAATCATTATTATTAAACGACACTAAAAGTAACATTAGGTCACAAACAAAATAAACACATAAATGAGTTAAAATATTATTCTAACCTTTCTTACTACTTCAACCGCTAACCGCAAATAGCATTCAATAACCTGACATTCCCCCTTTTTGCTTGGTTTGTTCTGACTATCGCCGTTTTTACTTGGTACCACATTTAAATGCTTTTTTATCAGTGACTGTCATCGTTTCAGTCTTGAACGATAGTTGACATTAATCTGCTATATTCAGAGTAACTGTTACCATCCTTAACTCGAAAAATGAAAAAAAAGCTGACATTCCCCCTTTTTGCAGTGTACTGTTCATATAGTGACATTCCTGTTGTCTACAGTAATATTATTGAAATATTAATATTAAATAGAGGATTATTAGAGTGAAAGAAAAAAATATATATCAGCTAGTTTATTGGCCTAAAATTTAATAATAATAATATTATTTTATTGACTTTAATATAAAAAATAACTTAATTGTACTCTTTTGTATTTTTGAAATTCTTGAGAAATTCAAAGTTAACTAAACACTCCTTTTGGAAATTAAATTAAAAAGACTCCAAAGTCTACTTTATTCAAATATAGTATTGTCTATCTACTCTTCTCTGTAGTTGTTGCTGCCGTTGGAGCAGGTCCAGTTACAGTAAAACTGGCAATAAAGACATTAATAATGGTAATCGCAAACACTCCAGCAGTTACGTAGATATTTAGTTTCTTAGCAGCAAGAGACTTCGATTTCCCTTGCATGTAAAACCACGCTTTGTATATCAAAGTGATGCCAATAGCAAGTTGCAACACCAATGAGAGACAAATCAGGATGACGTTGACATAAAACGTTGAACTGTGTTGGTTGTACTCGACCATATACCTCAGCTGGTTGGCGTTTGCAGTTATTAGAGCGATATCCATCATACCTGTAAAATAAAATACAGTTTTAATAGTAAAATAGATAATAGAGTGACAGTAAAATATTATCACAAACAGGAATGAGTTTTGAGAGAAAATCTAGTTATTATACAAACAACTGTAGACGGACAGTTATTAGAAATTACGTATGAAAAATTTGTATAATAAGTGCCAGAAGTCGTCGGGTTACAAGCAAAATACACTAAGTTAGTTTTTGTCATTTTTGACTGAATTACACATTGATATTTCAATTTGTTAAGTTTATGTACTGGCAAAATCCATTAGTTTTCTCATCTTGCAACAACACAAAATTCTACATTAACTAGGTTTTTAAGAACGAATTTTTGTTCAGGTTAAATCCATGAGTAACGTAGTGGATTTTGGTGAGGGCAATTATTTGACATAGTGAATTTTACTGGTTAAATTTGGCTTTAAAACTCAAAGTAAAAAGAATTTAGTACAAACAATTTTCAGCTTGCAAAATATGTTTTTCTTGCTTTATGTATGGTGATTGATAAGTCAGTTGTGTCCCAGATCTTCAAATGAAAACTTCGTTAAGACATCTCTTTAAGACTGCTTCAAAAACTGCTTGAACTTTTTAGTTTGTCATCGCTCTGTCTGGGTTTCAGATTGTCAACACATAGGTGCAAATAATTGATGGACTCGACCGTTACTTGATGGAAATTCATTTTATGTAACAATAAAATACTGAAAACTTTTAGGAATAGTTTGAATTTAATAATTAAATATATATACAAATAACAGTGCAGGACTTTTAATGGGCAATCCTCTAAGCCCATTGCTATTAGATATTTTTATGGATCATCTAGAGACAAAGATTTCAAAACATCCATAGTATTTATATTGGTAAAGATACGTAGACGAGGTACTGGTATGTTTGGCAGAAACCAACAGGCAACTCGACCAATTTTTATCGTATACTAATTCACTTCATAGTCATACTGAATTTACAATAGAAACAGATCAAAATCAGTCCTTAAATTTTTAGATTTTAAAATTATCAGACTTAAAAACAAACATGACTTCTCCATATTTCATAAACCTACCCATACTGACACGACTATACACAATTCATCATCCCATCCCACACAACATAAACTAGCAGCCTATCATAGTATGTTACATAGATTAACAGAAATTCTGATGTCAAAATATAACTTTGAGACAGAATTAAATATCACTAAGCAAATAGCAGTAAACAATGGATACAACGAAAAAACAATTAATAAAATGTTAAATTAAAAACCAAAAAAGAAAGCCCTGAAATTATTATTTCCACCACGAGCGAAAAAACCCAGTACCAGTAAAAATAGCCAAACATATAAAAAAGAAAGGAATAACACCAGCTTTCAGAGTAATAACAACTTGGGCAAATATATTAAAAACAACAAGAGCTAAATTAAAATACACTTACACAGTGGTGTTTACAAACTTAAATTCGACAACTGCCCAAAAACTTACATCGGTCAAACTGGTAGAAAATTTTAATAAACGAATAGCAGAACATAAAAGGGCTTTCAATAAAAGAAAAACAGATTCTACATACGCACTTCACCTTCTACATCATAATCATTCTTTTAATGACGAATTTAAAATTCTTCACATTCAAAATAAAGGCCTTAAGTTATCTTTGTTAGAATCTATGGAAATCAACAAATTAAAAACCACAGATATAATTCTGAATGGCCAACTTGAGACAAACAGTTCTCCCCTCCTCAACCCATTTCATTATAGTCAGACAATTTTCAATTAAAGGTGACTAATCTACAAATTGAACTAAACGGTAGCGGCAACCATGTAAAATTTCACAGTAAATTCTTACCGGGGTCGTTTTTATTGTGTATGCTTCGCACATGTATATACGTAAATTGATTTATCTTACATGGGTTACAACCCATGTAAGATAAATTTGCCCCCGTAACAATATAAATTGGTGCGATTCACGAGTTTAGATTGAGACAAGTTCATTGAATAGTTTTAAAACATCGGTAAACTTATTAATATTTTGCTGGTCTATATATATTTACGTTTTTAGAAAGAATGTTAATGAGAGAAATATGATATCTTAGTTTATTCTTTCCAGATTATATACATATGTGCATAGGCGTAGTGTGTTATTGGGAATATATTTATTAAATAGACTTTATTCTTATCTTTAAAATAGTTTTAGGGTAAGTAAAGTAAATTTGAGGCCAGTTTATTCTTTATATAGTGTTACACCTTTAACGGCCGCTCAATATACAAAGAGAAATTTAACAATTAGTTTATTAGATTGGATTAAAAACACATAAATTAGAACTAATTTACAACCAAAAATTTTTTTTTCTCATTTTCAAGGAAAACAGTACAATTTTTAATAAAGGAACATATTGTATCTTACACGTAAATTAAATTTTAAGGTGAAAATTTTCGAAACATTCGTGGTGTAGATGCATTCTATACTTTTTACATAAATAAAAAGTATTACTTTTGTACATCCTATATTTTTGCACTATCGTCTATTTTTGTAATATGGCCAATATTGTCGAATCTGGTTTCATCTGGCAAAGCAAATTTAGATTGACGTCCATGTACTTAGTGACACTGATGTAGCGGTTTCTTCACTATCATAAATTAAAAGTATAAATCTATGTCGGCTCATACTTTCTCTTATAATATGCACTTCTTTATCCTCATCCTTTGACCAATGCATATCAACTTGAAGCAGAGTGTAAACCAGATAATATTCATACGCTAATAATTTTTTTAATCTATGCTATTCATTTCAAAATTGTAACGGTTATTCTCAATTAATTTTTTATCAAAAAGAGTGAAAAAACTTCAATATATGACTTGTCTAAATGGTTTGCCTTTAACTTGTCTAAATATCAATCAGACTGATGTTGAATTACTACTGAGCACGAACGAATGTCCGTTATTACAACTTGAGATAAATTTGGATTTACTATTTTTGCCTGGTTTTTTCTTTTACGTTTTATCTGTGGTTCGAAGGAATATTATAATGAGAATCGTCAGAATTCCCAATCACTTGTATTTTATATGTACCTGCAATATACGATTTTATTGATTTTTCACAAATAATATTATCATCAATGTCTTTAAGGAATACAATATTATACCAACAAACGAATGGGAAAGATACCTGACGAAACTGTTAGCAAAGGAAAATAATAATCAACACTATAACATACCTGAGTTAAGACACGAAATAGAAATCAGTTTTCAGGAAGTAGAAATAGAATATTACACTGCAAGATACCAGACGCATGGAGAAACAGCATAATGATACCAATGTACAAGAAAGGAGATAAAGAAGACCCTAACAATTATGGAGGTATAAATTTACTAAACACCGCACTTAAGCGCACCACAAAAGTCCCAATGAACAAAATCAATAAACTAACAACTTTATTAGATGAACAACAAGGATTCAGATCCGAATGATCATGCGTAGACGCCGTATTTGTACTAAGACAAATCACAGAAAAGGCCATCAAGTACAATAAACCAGCATATCTATGTTTTATAGACCTGACTGTTCGTTTATTTTTACTTTTCATTTTGTAATGCAAATGACAACACTGTAATGGCAACACCGCCAAAAGTCAAGGTGTATGACAGTTGCCCTTAACGAGCTCTCAGTCAATTATTACTGCTACAAGTGTAAAGAGCAATAACGTTATAGTGAACCAATCGAGTCCATTTCTTCTCAGATATTATAATCTGAAACAAGATTTACCAGCAAACACAGGTTCATACACTGACAAAGGCTTTCGAAAGCATCCAAGTCGAAGACGTCTTACACCTACTGTATAAAAGAAACATACCAATCAATAATATACAAACCATCTATAGCATCTACCTCCATAATCGAATACAGGCAAAGATAAATGGAAAGCTAACACAGTGTATACCAGTACAATGTGAAGTCAGACAGGGTGACTCATTAAGCCCACTTCTTGTTAATATAATAATGAACGAAATAATACAAGCAGTATGTAAAGGTCATGGCTGCAGAATGGGGACCAAAGAAATCCAAATAATATGTTACGCAGACGACGCCGCATTAATCGCCGAAACAGAAGACGAGCTCCAAAGATTAACACATATCTTCAATACAACAACTAAGAAATACAATGTATGATAATATCAGCAAAAAAATCCAAATATATGACAACATCTAAATACCCACTACGGTGTAAAATCGAAATTGAGGGGAAAATAATAAAGCTGGAAGCAAGGTTTAGATATCTGGGAATAGATATAACTAGTTATGGATATGTTGAAGAAGAAGTATGACAGCAAAGCTTAAACGCAAGCAAAGCGGCGGGTTCTCTTAATGACACCATCTGGAAAAACAAACACCTAAGACAAGACACAAAAACAAAAGTCTATAAAGCAGCAATTAGACCTATATTAACATACACGGCGGAGACAAGGCCTGACATATCTAAAACGAAACGACTGCTAGAAACAACAGAAATGAAAATACTTTGACGAATATCAGGGAGAAGTCTGTTGGATAGTCAGAGAAGCAAAAACATAAGAAGAGCATGCAATATAGAAACATAACTGGATGGGTGACAAAATGAAAACAGGAGTGGAACGAACACATCAGTAGAATGACAGAGGATAGAATAGTACAAATAGCACGAGATAAGTTACCAAATGGACGAAGAAGTATTTGCAGAGGCATATATACGCCTCTGCAAAATTGATAATGTCAATACGATTTCGTTGAAAAGTTATCGTTAAGGTCTTCGTTAAGTACGATGTTTTAGAATTGTGTTTTAGATATACATCTTCTTTTCTTCAAGTGCCATCTCCGTGGCGGAGGTCGGCAATCATCATAGCTATTCGGACGTTTGAGACGGCTGCTCTGAAAAGTTCATTTGATGTACATCCGTACCACTCTTTTAGGTTGCGCAGCCATGACATTCTACGCCTCCCTATGCTTCTCTTTCCTTGGATCTTTCCCTGCATAATT